AAAAAAAAAGGAAGAAAAAAAAAAAACTAAAAAAATTTAAAAATAAATTAAATAATTAAATAAATAACCATCTCACAACATGAAACTGAAAGGGTTAATAGAAACAAACTTTGCATAATGCATTGTATCGGATTCTCCGTTTTTCACTGGTTCTTTTAGATGGTTGGTGAACATTTTCATCAGCCAAGATAAAGTTTAGCCTTTTTAACAACATGCCGTCATCTTCCATTTTTTTACAATGAACTTAAACCCAATTTGTTATATAAAAAAATATTTAATTAACGCTTATCATGCACATTATTCGCATGTGTACAAAACACTGTATTCTCGTAAAATCGAGTACATATAACAAGTAATCTGTAATTTTGTATAAACAATGTTCTATTATGAAAACTATAAGTCCAAAAAGGAAAAGCCACATATAATTATTTCTCAATCTCACCGCTAATTTGGATATGCACATTATTTGTTTACTATTTATTTACTCAAAAGGATCTTGAAGAAAAAATAATTGAACTATTTTAAACTTAATAACCTGTATTAGATATTCTTAATTGTAGCTATAAATAGTTACAAAAATATTTATGGATTGAAAATCAATTGCCATATCTAGTCATCAATTTTAATTACTTTCATTACAAACAAACACAGAGTTAGAATAATGTATTACATAATGGTTTGATCTAACCTAACCCTATAGATAATCTTATAAAAAGTAATATTGTTTTCTTATACTTTTTTGCCGTATTAAGAAATTAAAGGATTATGATACAAGGGGCATCTTAAATTACTCAATTAGTATCTTTAAAGTTTTCATTTAGATGACCCAAATTAGAGGGTAGACAGATTAACTAATATTCGCCACCACCTCTCTCTGCCCCACCACCACCACGACTAATATTACCAAGTTGCTGTCGTCTTTGAGCATCCAATTTTGGACATTCGGATATACGATGTCCCAGGCCGCCACAAAACATACAACCTGTGAAAATTTATATTTATTAGAACAATGCAAATTACATAAACTAACACTACTCTTGTAATCGTACCTCCTGATAAGTCTTTGAATTTTTCTGTAGGATCTTCTAAGGCTTCTAGTACGGGTGGAACTCGTTGTTTTGCTTCTCGAAGCAAATGTTTTAAATCTAGCAAAATCTGTTCTGAACAGTTCATATTAATAAATGTTGTGGCCACCCCTGTCTTTCCTGAACGACCAGTACGACCAATTCTATGTACTTTTTTTATTTATTTATTTTATTAGTAAATAATATCACTACTTAATAATAAACAATAAATAATAAACAATAAATACCATAATTTTCAATTTCCTTCGGCATATCATAATTGATTACGTGTTGGATATCCGGAAAATCTAAACCCTTAGAAGCAACATCAGAAGCAACTAAAACATCTTTTTTATATTCTTTGAATGCTCTTATTGCAAATTCTCGTTCCTCTTGACCTATAAACCAATAAACATTTGTAAGTTATGATATTATTTTTTTATAAATTATAACAAATTGAATATATATATATATATATACTTTTGCCTCCGTGAATAGCTACTGCTTCAACTCCTTTCACTAAAAGGTATTCGTGAATATCATCCACATCATTTTTATTTTCTGCAAAAATAAGTACCTAAAAAAAGTATGACAATAATATAAATATGAGATATAAAATAGTAAATATTGAATATAATAATGAATAAATTTCAATAATTACAGGTGGTGGTGTCTTCTGTAAACATTCCAGAAGATATACAATTTTCGCTTCCTGTTTTACATATTCTACTTCCTGAATTACGTCCAAATTAGCAGCACCTGCTCGACCAACATTGACGATCACAGGTTTTACTAATGCGGATCTTGCAAAATCTTGAATTTTCTTTGGCATAGTAGCCGAATATAATAACGTTTGACGCTGACTCTATTAAAATAAATACATATATTAATTTCTAACACTTAAGTAAGATTATTCTTTATTGTAATAAATCTCATACCGTAAAGTAAGACATAATATTTCTGACATCATCCTCAAAACCCATATCAATCATCCTATCAGCCTCGTCCAGACACAAATATCTAGAGAATCGATAATATATTAACAAAAAATTTTTGATTAAAAGTAACAAATAAATTAATTTATATAACACACTTGCATAAATCTAAATTAAATTTTTTTTTTTCCAGCATGTCCATTAATCTTCCGGGAGTTGCAACCACAATATGTATTCCTTCTGATAAGATATTCTGTTGATCAGACATAGATATGCCACCGATACATAATAAATGTCGTAATTTTGGGTAGCCATCTCTAACTAAAAAATCCATCATTGAGCTAATGCTTTCATAAGTTTGTCTTGCTAATTCACGCTATTTAGTTAAATGTTGAGAATTCATTAATTAATATTATCATGTAAAATTAAGGTATTATTTTAAATAAATAAATACGAACCGATGGACAAATAATCATTCCAATTGGACCCTCACCCCTAATTAATGGAAGTTTACATTCTTCTTCTAATGCAAACATAACTAACGGCAATGAAAAGGCCAAGGTTTTTCCAGACCCTGTAAATGCAATTCCAATCATGTCTCTTCCAGTCAATCTAAAAATATTCAAAAAAAAGAAAGTAAGTATATACATAAAAGCTTAACTCATTATGAATGATCGTATATTCCTTACACAACGGGAAGACCTTGAACTTGAATAGGTGTTGGCCGATGAATTCCTTTAGATTTTAAGTATTTCAAAATACAAGATGGAAATTTCATATCCTATTATAGAATTAGCAAATGTAAAAAAAATATAACAAAATAAAAAAAAAGGCGTACCCTAAAGTGTTTAATTGGTGGTGGGATATCTTCACCTTCTACAAGGATATGATATCTCTGTCGAATTGCATCATGATCAGCCTGAGCTCTCTCACGAATTTGACGAGGCGGTCGCCAGCTAATAAAAAAAAGGATAGATGAATAACAGCTATCTGATAACAAATACTTTTTTAAAAAAGATAAGAAACTTACGTAGTCTTCATTGGTTCCGTATAAATAATTCCTTTTGCAAGTTCTTGAACTGATGCCAAAAGCCTTCGTTGAGCGACAGCTTCCATAATTGCCTTTTCTTCTTCAAGTTTCTTTTCAACGTCGGTTTTGGAAGAATCTAATTCATAAAATTTAGTTCTTTAATCACTGTATAGATATTATAAAAAAAAAAAAATTCGGAAGATCTCTTTACCTTCTATTAATTTTTGTTTTTTAGCTTCCACTGCCTGATCGATCAAGCTGACATTAGCCTTTGGTCCAGCTCTGACCAATTCTTCAACTTCGTCATCAACCTCATTTTCTTTTTGCGGTTCAGGGATGTTTCTTTGACTAGCGAGTTTTTGAAACTTTGCTTCTCTTCTTTGCTTGATTGGAACATAAGGAACATAACTATCCAAATCAAGTTCTAGATCTAAATCGTCGACTTTTCTTTTCTTGGGCGAAGTGGACATTGAATTTTTGTAAAAATAAGATTGATCTACTGTATATGGAGTATATGGAGTAAAAAATTTTAACAATCACGTGATATATAGAAGATCACGATGTACGACAAACCTTTAAATTTATGATCTAACCTTTTGAAAGTTACTAAGGATTAACAGAGTATATCTGGATCGATTAAAATACACTAACTGCTAATGTAAAATAAGCTATCAATCATGAAACTAAAAATTTATTTGATAATATAAAGAGATCTACTTGTCGCGTATATGGGCAATGAATGGATCATCAATTATAAATTTATAACAAGCAGAGATTAAAGAATCTCGTAAGCATGCATTATGGTTTCCGGATATACAGTACATGGCAATATCGATTACCATTCTTATCACAAACGATACAAATGATTTCCTTTGAAAATTTTTTCATAAATAACAGGTTTTCATTTTATGAGAGAATCTGTTCCCGTTTCTCCTATCTCTAGTAAAATTTAAAATTAGAAAATATATTAAATTTACATATTTTAACCAGTAATTAAACATTTAATAAATTATATTTATTACCTCTTTCCTTCTTCTGCATGAGGACTTTGTTTAATATTATAAATTCTAATTAGACTCGTCTTCCATTATTGATATATTATATATTATAAATGTCAGAGGAAAATCTATAAATTTGTGATAACGAATTAATACTCGTGAAAATTGATTAAAAGGGTCCAGATTAGGAATAGTTGATTCAATCAAATTGCAAATTTTGTTGTGAAAATAACTTTGTATCTAAGATTAGTCAGATATTAAGATATCAAAGATATTAAACATATAATTCCGATAACTCCGATACATATGTTTAACTCATTTTAAAATGAAGAGCATCCAAACCAAAGCTTTGACGTTAAGAACAATTCCAATGATCTCAGTATAAAGTATTAAAGTATTATTCTCCAGTGTAATAAGACTAAGGTTGGTTGCCGTAAGTAACGATTATTATTATCGAATTACAACCTTTAGCGGTTGTAATATTATAAACGTAAGTTGTAAATTGGCTGTAAATACTACACTATTGTGGTTAGCTAAAAGATGGTAATTTTGATATTACAACCATTATATTTACTTGACTTTTAGACTTACAACTATTTACGGAGACCAACACTAAATAAGACATTTTTTTTAATAAGACATAAGACTTATTTTTAATTAAAAAGAATTTTTTTTTCCTCCTAAAAATTATTTGTTGTCCCATCGGTATTATGTATACCGATGGATTTTTTTGTAAATTACTCCACCGGCATAAAAAAAGTGGAAATCCATCAGTGTATACGTCATACAAGCCTGTTATTGCACCCCGGTTTTGTGGGCGCGGTTTTTGGTGGGGTGTGATGTTTTATGCAGTGACAAATAAAGATCAGGCCGCTAAAAAAAACTAAGTCCCTCAGATACTTAATGTTTTTGAACTCGTGGCTGCACGTGATCAGGTGACAGTTAAATGTCACTTGTTCCTTATATGGTGAAGATCGACACAAACCGCGCCCACAAAACCGGAGTGCCCTGTTATTCCATGGATATCTATTAAATACTCCATATACACCGATGCTCTTCGGGGGACCCCCCAAGTTATTCATTGATACTCATGGAATAACAAGTATAAATTGGACAGATAAGCCATGAATTCAAACGCTTCTTTTCATAACGTAAAGTAGATTTTTCTCTGCGTTACTCAAGTTTGGAGAAATAAGTTTGTTTCTTTTCTAATATAATTGATATTATCTCAGCAAAGCGCTCTTCATGTTTTATATTTTATTCTACTCATTATTTGCTATTGTTTCTACTATTAAAAATATTATTTTTCATGCCGAAATTGTTGTTATTCTTGAAAGAAAAAAAAAATAAAAAAAATTGGAAATCAATTTAATGATAGAAGTAATAAATAGAATGAAAACAAGTTTAAAATCTTGAATTATAGTAGTACGTCATAAATGTAATTTACTCGGTACAATTTTTAAAGTTACAAGGAGTTTTAAGTACATTCAGGGAGGCGATATATATATATTTACTTTGACGAATGAAACCAAGAATAATATCTTGTAATCTCTCTAAACACTAACTGTCTTTTGCCATTGAGTAAAATATAAATTATTCGAAGATCATCTGGAAAAAAAGGTTATATAATTATCTCGACGAAAAAAGCAAATCTTTTTCCCATTAGTTTTCCATTAAAGTTCACAATATACAATATTCAAAGTGTAATATAAAGTGTACTGTACATATCGCGAGAGTACTTTAAATTTGCTTCGTTTTTTTTACAAATTTTACGATGGTGGACTTATCAAATGATAGAATTAACCGCCCAACAAATTTGGCCCAAATAGGCACTCTATCAAATGTTCCATACACTAATAAATATTTCTCGCGACTTAAAATACAACTTAAACAAGTAGTCCTCTTTTATGGATAATCAATTTGCCAATTTGGCACTTCAACTCAATACTATCATCCTACGATACAATCATATAAGCTTTACTTGATGGTACCCAATTCCAAAATATTTTCCCTTCACTCGACGTTAAAACTCTCCTCAATTTAAAATTATCATTATACCTAATTCTGTAAATTTAATTAATTTAGATTTACAAAATCTAGTTCGACAAGATGATTCATTTGACTTTAATAATTTTTAGTGACTAAACAACATCTTTTTCTTTTTAGCTAATTTATTAAGTACACTAATTATTTTAAACCTCATTTATTTGATAAATTTAGCAAATAAAATTCATACAATTCTCTTTTAATAATACTTTCCATCTCTTATATTTTTATCCATAAAATGATATATAAGTAAGTAAATTACATTAAATATACAGTAAATGTTTTATTGAAGCCAAAAAATTGTACATATAATAAAGAATCTTAAATATCAAAAATAAAATCTAGTAAATACAGTGTAAATACCAAAGAAATATTATAAGTAATAGTTTTTCCTACTTAAGGTGGAATAAAGTTTAAGTTCTGGACTATAGGGCTAAATTTTTAGCAAAACTAGGCCTTAATAAATATTATCTCACTTAACCATAAATTTATTAAACTAATTATTAGCTAAATAAATATAAATTTATTATTATTAAAACTTTTTATTATTAAATTAAATATAAAAGTAATAGTTTTGAATTTAATCCTAAACATTAGTTTTAGATTGAATTCAATTTACCTATATATTAAAATTAATAAGTTTAATAAAACTGTAAGTAATCTTCTATATTTAAATAATAATATATATATTTTTTATTAGTTAAATTAGTGTTAAATTTATTTTACATAATTTACAAATAAGAGTTTTACTAATTTGCCTTCTAGGTTAAATAATTTGGATTAAATCATCTTCTTAAAATTTATTTTTTTTTAAAAAATAAATTATTTGTATTATTATTCATTTTACTTTATATAGATTTATTTATTTGAACATTATAAATTATAATAACCAAAGTTTTCTTATATTTTTGACAATATTTTTTGTTTTTAATTTTAATTGTAACTATAATTTATATTTCTTTTTGAAAATTTGGCCAAAATTATAAAATTTACTAACAGATTAAATCATTCAAATTAAATTACTTATAGTTAAAATTAGTTTTATAAACTTATATTATTATTTTAATACTTTTATCCAATACAAAATTTTTTATATTTAAAAGTATAAAATATAGTAATTACTTTTTTTAATATAGATGATATTTATTTATAAAACAATAAATTTAACATTAACTAATAAATTTCTTGTAAAATAATAAAAAGAAAATATTAATAATGCAAATTAAAAGTACAGTCAGACCTCTATATAGTCACCTAATCAGTTTCGCAAAAATCAGTGACTATATAGAGGCTTTTACTATGATGTGATTATACAAAGGTTTTTTATATAGTAATTATATATATTGGTATTTTCCAAAGGTGTAATTATATAGAGAAATTTTATATGATGTGACTATATGGAGTGTGATTATATAGAGGTCAGATTGTATAATAGTTTTTTATAAAAAATATTTATATTTAAAATATAATCAATATATTTAAAATACATTTAATTAAATTTTTTTAATTTTTTTATTTTATATTTAATTTGTAATTTATAAGTTAACTGCAAATAATTTGTAAAAAATAGGAATTTGATATAATATCAAATAAAAAATGAAAAAATTATTGTAAAAAAAAAACTATTTGAAACTTTAAAATAAAATATTATATATCAATCAGAAAAAATATTTAATTTTTTATATTATATTTATTATACAAATACCACTCATTATAAATTTATAATGATATCTTAATAAACTAACATATGGAAAATTATCAAAAACAAATTTTACTATACTTGTTATAATGATATTATTATAAATATTAATATATTATAATTATAATACAAAATTCTGATAAACTAATTTTATAAAGTAACAATCTAGCTTGATATATATAATAATATCATAAATATAATGACAGTCATTATATAAATATATTTATTAATGTCCATTATATATCAACTTATTTTTTAGTTTTTTTGAATTTGCAGTCATTCAAATATAAAAAATACAAATAATGTATAATGAATAAAACTTCCTAATAATAATTCAAACAAAAAAAAAAAGAATTACCTTAAATAAAGCTTAAAAAAAAGAATTTATATTTTAGCAAAAAATAACCTTAGCTTAAAATATCAAAATATTATTAATAAATATAATATTAGTCATAATACTATTACAGAAATTCTTATTAAAAAGAATTATTTTTAATATTAATAAATAAAAAGGGTTTTGTTTTTTATCGCACCTGCGTTATGTCGCACCCCTATAATATGTTACATATAAAAGTCAAAAATGACATTCTAAATCCTTTTTGATATATTAAGAAAACTTGTAGAAAGGTCAAAAATACGTATAGTATAAGGTTTCTTATAGTACATAGTAAGTGCATAAGGTCTCACGCAAGGATTTTTTAAAAAATGGGAAATCTTAACGAAGTCATATGATAAAAATGATCGATATAATTAATATATAAAAATTACCAAAAAAAGGAGATGCGACATATCGCAGGTGCGAAAAAAAACATATTTCTAATAAAAATTCTATTGCAAATCAACAAAAATAAATAAATAAACTCTTTTCCTTCAACTAAAAGAAACTTTAGCATTATATAGTTTGATAAAACAATTAAATAATATAATTTAATAATTACAGGCAAAATTTTAAAAATTAAAGGTCATGCAATAGTTAATATTTAATTTTAATAGATCTGATAAATGATTATCTAATTTTAAAAAGCAACATCCCATTTATTAAATTACTAAATAAGATAAAGCAGCAAATATACTACTTGAAAAATTATCAAGATTTAAAAGAATTTAAAAAAATATTATTCAAGAATATTTTCTTATAGATATGTATAAATACAGATGAAAATAGCTTTTTTTTAAGATTTAAAACTATCAAAAATACATACTTATGGACTAATGACGGGTATTAAAAAATTAAAATCTTGAATTATTATTTTATTATTATGTAATGCATTAGATAATAAATTAATTATACCAATTTTTATATACTAAAAAATAGAAACTATTGTAAATTTAGAATAAAAGATTTTGTACAAAAATCCAAATATCTTTAAAAATTCAATTTATATATATAAAAAATCTGGTATTTCTAAAAAAAAATGAAATATTAAAAATGTTTTTTTAAAGTAAAATAAATAAAAAAATAACTTATAGTTTGATATATATAAGAAATTCAGAAACTTTAGAAAAAAAATAAAAAATAAAATCAAAATATTTTTTTGAAATTAATTAAAAAAATATACTTATTAATTAAAATTAAATAAAAAAAAAATTATTAGATAATTATATTTATTATAAACTTATTTTGCAATTATTGTTTATTTTTGATATAACATAAAATTTCAATAATACATTTTATGCAGACCAATTAGAAATAATGCATACAAATAAACAGATTTTATTTATGATTCAATATATTATTAAAATTTATAAATATATATATCTTTCACTTTACTTTAAATAATAAATATCAAAACCTTTAAGTATTAAAATAAATAAAAAAAATATTACCTATTTATTAATAAGAATTGGATGTAAAAATAGACTCTAGTGAAAAATATAAGTTTGGTCATCTAATTAAATTATATAATTTATATTGATTATTTTCTTTTTTAGGTCAAATATTATACTAATTTTTAAAATTGGTAAAATCAATTTTTAAAAAAAATATTTTTTGTGAAATAAGTATTAGGCGAGACAAAGTTAAAAATTCGGTTCTCATATCCCGCCCGCGTTGATAAAGTGACTCTTCGAACTTTTAATTTTTTTTATGATAACCAATCAAATTTAACTCATGTGAATGTACCAATAAAATTGAAAATTAAAACTTTTTTAAAACTGTTTTTAAATTTAAGCTTAAAATATTAAATGTTTTATCAAAATGTTTAATATACATGCTGCGCTGCTAAACGCGAAATCAAAAAAAATAAAAAATTGTCTAAATCAAATCTTTGTACGCTTTCCCTTATCTTTACCACCCTGTTTCCATTTTAGACGTTTCTTTGAAATGGCAGTATTATCACTGCAACTACTGCAATGTGGGAATTTGTCTTCTGCTGTTTCGTTAATATCTAAGCTTCCACACTCAATGCAAACGTCCGGATAGATTCCAGCTGAATAATATAGTTTTTCAATCTGTGACGTACAAGACCAAGAATCATTAACAAAAACTCTTAAAAAAAGTTCACGAATAGAATCCTTCATATTGTTATCAGATTTATTCTCATCATCTGAGTTTTCAGGTTCGTCTTCATTACAATCATCCCCCTCATCCAAATTTTCTATTTCATCATGTTGCTTTGATGGTACAGGTGTAGTTATTGCCAAATCGCATGTATTATGAAATGACATGCCGCAGGTATAGAAGATTGTGTCTAAGAAACTTTGTAGCCTTGTCCTATCCTTTTTGGACAATTTCCTGGCGCTGAATAATAAACGTGATTTCTCACACTCAGCACAATTTACAACAACACTAACATTTTTTGCACGTACAGCAGAAGGGCAGAAGGGCATACTGTGTTTCACTTTTGTGGTTGTCATATTTTCTTTTTTTTTGCTTTAGCATCTCTAAACGAAGGTCTATGATCTTCTGTTGTTGGTGTACCATATAGCTTTTCAAATGATATGTAATGCAAGTCTTCACCAGGTACTGGATCTGGAAGATGATGCAATTGTTCAAAATCTTCTGTTGAACAACGAATAGGATGGCAAATAGTACAAGTTGATTTACCACATTTCTTGATTGAAAAAAAGTAATGCCTTGACTTACAACAGTGCTCTAAGAATTCTTGCATATATTCCTATAACAAAGTTACATTAATGAAAGTTTTTTTACGTGAAAATTAATCAATTTTATTTACCTTTCGTTTTATATGTTCTGCAGTACGATCTTTATGAGTAACACTATCATCTACAATCTGAATTGTTTCTCAAAATCTTTCTATTTTCGTTTCTGATGCTGCTGGAAATGTTTTGAAAGACTCACCTTTAAGAGCTTGACGACTAAACACATCACGAATCAAATGAATTGGAACTTGAAGGCTTGTAATTAGATCTTCCTTCAGGTTAGGATTCTCCTCTGCAATTTTGCGGATTTCATTCATTGTACCACACTTACTCATTAGATTTTCAGACTGATCATTCATTTCAGCTCGCATCAAATCAATACTTTGAAGTCCTAGATTTAGCACTGGTAAAAAAATGATTTATCCTACACATATCTTACACATATTGGGCACTCAAAATGTAGAAAATCATACACAAATAATACACATATCATACACATATCGGGTACTAATATATATATCATACATATATCAGGTACCTGATAGGTATACTATATATATAAGTACCCGATATGTGTATGATATGTGTATTATTTGTGTATGATTTTCTACATTTTGAGTACCCGATATATGTAAGATATGTGTAGGATATGTGTAGGATAGACCATTTTTTTACCAGTGTAGGATTGACATGATGCGCTCAACAGGATTTTTCCATGAATGTTGTGGTGGAGTTCGGACTGCAACAAGATAATCAAGATCTAATGCAAGAAAAAGACAAATATACAAGAGTTGGACTCGGGTATATGTACAATGATGGTCTGGACCACCATCCGTATAGAGACATAACACAGGCTTGTTATAAAGATTTTCATCAAGTAGTATATTAAACAATTCTGTTACATGTCGGAGAGGTGAGGAAAGTTGAAAAATTGGATCCTTTAATCTAATGCGTACTTTTCCCGCATAGAAATCACTATTGATCGATTCTGGAATGTCACATATCATCACTACACTTGGTATAATTCCCATTTTTGTAAAATCATGGTCAGCTACTGTGAATGTGGTATCTTTACTAACAACTACTTTCTTTCCCCTCTCTATTGTAGCAACAGGAAATCCAGGTTCACCAACTTTGCAATGATGCTTATCATCTAGAAAAATCATATTTGTAATCTCACAGAATTTCACTGCAAATTCCTTCTCATATCGAAATAATGCTGATGCATAATGGGCATCTTGATGATTAGCTCGTAGTTGTTATGTCTGAACCATAAATTTTAAAGGTAAACGACCGGTAAATTGCAGGCTACTAAGCCATGTTGGATTCTTTAGCCAAAATTGTAATCGTAACCATTGTGCACTAGGAATCAATATTTCAGGTGAACACTCATGTTTAATTTGGTGCAAAAGGTCATTCACTGAGATTGCAGTTGCAAGATGTACGACTGTGTCATGCCTGCGTTCATCTACAGCAGTTACAATGTCTGCTGCTTTTCCTGCAAGAAACTGAGCTGTAATTTTCCAAAAATCATTATATTTGCCAGGCTGCCCATCATTATGTTCACGTAAATCTATGGTAATCTCTGGGTCTCCAAGTTCCAAAGCGAGTCTAACACGTTCATCAACTTTTGCTTCAATTGCATTTTCAGCCGCAGTAATGTCACCTGTTAGCATTCAGTAAATTGTTCAGAGTGCTAATGGCTTGGCCTTTGGGAGGAGAAGATCACATGTACGTAGATAGTTTATCTGCATTGCTCTTGTGTGATAACGAGGTGCATCAGCCTGCAATTCCATTACAATCTGTGTGTTTTCTTGAATTATTAAGTCTTCATTAACATGTTCGTCAACTTTCCAGATTGAAATTGCATTAAAAGCATTATTTCCAGAAATAAATCAATATTCTCCAATTTTGAAAGAAAATGCGTGAGGTAAACCTTGAATGTAACGCATTCTTTGCCTACAATATGGATTTTGCATTAGAATTTTAAACCAGAAACAAGATTTAATATTTTTTTCTCATGCATACACAGGATCATTTGGCAAGTATTCTTCAAAATCAACTGGTTTCCATGGTGGTAAATTGCTAAGCAACTGTTCAAGACGGTAATATTTGGTCTTATCGATAGGTGTAACCCAAATGTTACACTTGTGGACTTTGATCGTTGTTGCTTGATCGATAGATCGTATGGGAGATTCTGATGCATAATTCACAGCAGTAACATTATGATGACATTGAAGATATCCAGTATAATTTGAAATGGCAACAATGAAATTGTCAAATGCACCACGGAGCCAGTCAAAATTCGCCATTAGCATCTATGACGATATAGCGCATGGAGCAAGAGATTGGTAATGTAAGTTTAATTCATTTGCATCAAAGAGTTTTCGGAAATGCTTATGTGATTCAGGATTTGCATGGTTAAAAAACTTAAGGAAAATATTAGGTATATGAAAACTACGTTCTTCAAGTTTCTTGTGACTACGCATATCAATATACCAAATTGTTTCAGTTAAGCTAACAATAAATTCCTTTCCTTGTGTATTAGCAATTGATTGAGTAGACCATCCTCCACCATTATTGTGAATCCAATCAACAAAATCATTACGCAGTGTTTGCTTACGATTTCCTGATTGTGGGAATGTTAGCAAATATAATTTAGATTTGCGTGCATTTTGCATCAAGATCGCAAAGCCATTTTGTGATGCTGGAGTGGCTGTTGTAATATCAGTTTTGAGTCGGTAATGTATATATATTCCTACACCCTTCGTAAGTTCTATGATATTACAGTTAAGACTGGCTTGGATTGACTGGTAAAAAAATGATTTATCCTACACATATCTTACACATATTGGGTACTCAAAATGTAGAAAATCATACACAAATAATACACATATCATACACATATCGGGTACTAATATATATATCATACATATATCAGGTACCTGATAGGTATACTATATATATAAATACCCGATATGTGTATGATATGTGTATTATTTGTGTATAATTTTCTACATTTTAAGTACCCGATATATGTAAGATATGTGTAGGATATGTGTAGGATAGACCATTTTTTTACCAGTGGTTGCAGAAGCAGCTAGTGCCTCACTTAACTCGATACGTTTTATTTCTTTAGAACTTGTCACAGCAATATTGCATTCAGAAGATATTTCTTTATTAACAAGCTTCATAAAAAAATCTTTTAATGACATTTCATAGGGAAAAGGATGGATATACCAGCCATGGAGTACTCATGACCCTTTAGAGATGCGAATATTTGCAAATACCATATTCAAGAAAAAATGAATTCATACAAGGTTGAAGAAAGTATATCTTAACGTGTTTTTTAAAATTTTCCATTTATGCAATTTTCTATAAGGGGCGCAGTCAAAAAAGGAAACCAGAACGATTGTTTAATTTCTAATATAATAATACATGCAAGATGCATATTTGCTTTATAAATTCGTTTGAGTATTTTTTTTTCGCTAAAGATCTTTATGACTTATATATTTAAAAAATGATTCCCACGCTTAATTCGTATTGTATTTATTAAATTGTTCATGAAAATCGAACTAAAAACTTGAATTAACTTGATATGTAAATCAATACATAATAAATACGTAATACAATTTACAATAAATCTCGAATTTTATTGGTTTAAAATTTTTTGTTCTATAAAATTAAAATCTGTGCGCCCGCATCAAATTGAGGCAAATTTTGATATGAGAACCGAATTTTTAACTTTATATCGCCTTATTAAAAAAAATAATAATCTGCATACTTATAGAGTTCTGTATGAATCAGTTCAGATCAGATTTTATTAGATTTCAATCTGATCCAATCAGATTCAGATCTATCAATTTAAATCCAGATTTGAATTTCAGATCTATATTTGAAATCTGAATCTGATTTGTTTAATTTGATTCAAATTCGAATTAAATTTGAATTTGATTTTAAATTCAGATTAGATTCAGATTCGAATTATATTCAGATCAAATTTAGTTTAATCTGATCAATATTTGGTTCAATCTGATTGATATTTTTTAAATTTTTAATAATAAAATAAGTATTTACTTCATTAAAATTTCTTTATTTATATATATACACAGGTCGAAATGTTAAAAATTGGCAAAAAAAATGGCGCAAAAAGCAGTGGCTATTCTTGGCTATTCTTGGCTATTCTTGGCTTTTCTTGGCTGTTTTTAGCTATTTGCGAATTAACCTATACTATTTGTAAATAGTTTATATGGTGCTGAAAGTCTTAACTCGACAATCACGTGATTTTGTTTCAATTTTTTTGGAACCGACCCTTAATCACGTGTTTGGAAATCAGCCAATAAAAATCTGAGATTTTTGATAAATTTTCATACTGGCGGCTTATCGGTACCATGATATGTCACACTTACAGTATGCAAAAAATGTTAACTGAAAAAAAGTGTTACGCATTTTATTTTATTTCATTTTGAATAACATTTTTCAGTAATGCAAAGCCAGCAATTAAGTATGTAAAGTATGTATTAATTAATGACTTTATTATTATCACTTACGTATTATCTAAATCATCCATTATTCTTTCAATATTGTCAGGTAACCGATGATGTGACTTATATTTGCTAACAGCCCATTCAGCGGTCCTACCTTCCAACCCTTTATTGTATGCATCCATATATCTCCATGATTTGCATGCAAATTTATGAATGGTTGTTACAGGAACACTAATAAGAACTTCTGGAACCTTTAACAATAAGTCATTATAATTATAATTGCATAACCGTCTTGTTTCCCGTTTTGCAAAACCCCAATATCGTTCTATGAAGTTACACTCACAATGGAATTTTGGGTAACGTTCAAAAATATGTCCTGCTTTAATTATTGCCTCTTTCAATATTGACCGTTGTTCACAAAAATCTGGTTGCAGTGACATTATTCTTCGTGCACAACAATCTAGCCTTTCTGAAACAATATCATCTTGTTTTCCAGAACATTGCTCACACATCAAACGTATACCCTTCTCTGGCCAAATATTACACTCTGTAAGCACCTGCTTGATACCTTTTGGCTTTCCTTTTAG